TAGTCATGCACCTATTTCTTGTTATCAAGAGTTGATACCTTCCCCTCACTTCTCTTAATCGCTTCCTTCCATCCTTGGCCTCTTTTTTCTAAAATATCTGTATTTCTGCCTGCAGACTTAGCATGAATGTGCTAAAAGTGTGCATTTTAAAACCTGATGGATTTCTTTGCAAATCTGTCCTGTACATCACATGTAAAGGTAAAGGTATTCCCCATTGACAAGGTTGTCAAGTCCTGTCCAATCATAGGGGGCAGTGCTCATCTCCGTTACTAAGCCGAAGAGCCAGAGTTGTCAGAGACATGTGATCATGGGGCCAGCATGATTGCACAGAACGCTGTTTACCTTCCTACTGAGAAGTGGTACCTATTTATCTACTTGCATTTGCCTGCTTTCTAACTCCTAGATTGGCAGAAGCTGGGACTAGTGACAGGAGCTCACCCCATCATGCAGCACCTGGGCTTTGAACTGTCAACCTGCCAATTTTGCAATCAACAAAGTCAGCATCTTAGAATCTTGAGCCATGTACATCACATGTACTTTCCTTAAATTCTTTTCATTCATCTACTTCCCCATCTTTCTTAGTAACTGTTGTGGTCTGGTTTCAGTACAGCTACTTTTTCTTCAGGAAATTCTTGTCAGAAGAATGGAACAAGGTGCATCAAATTCCCTTTCCCCAACACTGGAGCACTGATTTGAGTCAAGTTTTCCTGGTGTTTTTTGGGTTTTTTAGCATTCTACAGTGACAGCTGGTGGTTTCAATTTCAGTGGGGCAGTAAATATGATCCAATTTTTACTCTGAAGAACATGTCCAAAGTGCTGAACCTATTTTGGTTCATACTAAAACCTGGAACAGATTCACTAGATCACTGATATCAGAGCCACAAGAACCACTGACTTAGCAATGATGGGATGGAGGAGCAAATAAGAAATCCAGATCCAATTATCATGTTCTTTTTCATCTTCTTGGATCCTTTAGGCCATAATCCTGTTTGGTGAACTATACTAATGGTTGCACTTTTTCATTTTCTTTTTTAAAAATATTGCTATTAAAATTCTTTATATACTAAAATGTAAAACGAGCACACAAAATCCCACAAACTAAAATGCATTCAACATAATACAAAACAAAAAACACAAAGAAAACAGCAAAATACTACCACACTATACTGCAAGTTATATATCCCTTATCTGAAATCCTTGGAACCAGAACTGTTTTGGATTTCTGAATTTTTTTTTATTTTGGAATAATTGCATATTCATAATTAGATATCTTGGCAATGGGACCAAAGTCTCAATATGAAATTCATTTATTTTCATATATACTTTATACATACAGCCTGAAGTTAATTGTATGCATAATAATTTTGTCCATTGAACAAATCTTATGTACACGGAACCATTAGAAAACAAAGGCATCTCTATCTCAGCCAGCCATATGGACAGTTTTGAATTTTGGAGTATTTTGGATTTCTGAATTAGGGTACTCAACCTATACTAGGGCCTTTACAGAGTGGCAGAAATAATGCAGCTTGAGGCCACTTTAACTGTCCTGGCTCAGTGCTAAGGAATCATGGGAACTGTAGTTTATTGTGGCACCAGAGCTCTCTGGCAGAGAAGGCTCAATGTCCCAGAAAAAAATACAATTCCCATGATTCCCTAGCACAGAGCCAAGATAGTTAAAGTGGACTCAATTTGCACTATTTCTGGCAGTCTGTAAAGGCCCTTAGTCTGACAAAGAATGGCTACCATCTATTTTTTCTGAGCTTATATGGTATTTACTAAGAACCTATCTTACTCTGTAGAGTACTAGTTACATTGCATCTATCAGTTTAACTCATACTAATTTTCAAAACCAGTGGCCATTTTATCACCTTCATTATTTTTCAAAAAGTCAATCTTTGCAACTTCATTTTTAGCAACCATTCTTCTTTAGTAGGCACGATGTTACTCTTCCATATCTGAGCATATAAAAATCTTGCTGCTGTGGTCATATATTGAAGAATTCTTCCATAACTCTTTTTCTAGTTGATCACCCATCAATCCCAGAAGAAAACATTGATGTTTTAACTGTTTGTTAATTTTTAAAATTCTCTGCACCAATGTATGTATTTCCACCACATACGATAACATGCCCCATCTTGGTTTTCACATTTCCAGCATACATTCAAAGTTCCCTTATACATCTTAGACAATTTCTCAGGCATCATATACCAACAGTATATAGTTTTATTAAAAATCATTTTTCAATCATAACGCAAAATAAATGTCACAACCCCCTTGACTACATCCTTTTCTATTGATCCATCTGTATCCAAATGTTCATAGCCACAGTGGTTGTACTTATTCAAAGATCAAGCAGCAGCAGTAAGGAAAGGTAGACAAAATCTTCCAGTTTCTAAAGCAGCCTATTTTATCCAGTTACTTTTATAGCATGACTGCCACACCTGCAGCCATTTCCTTCCACCTCCTATGTCAGCATAGTTAGATCAGTTTAGTGAACCACCAGGATTCCAACAATTGTTGAATAAAACTGTGAGCCCACTTGTTTCTTTATTCCTCAGGGTAAAACTTAGCAGATGTGTTTGTCAGCTTATCAGATCTTTGGACTAGAAATATGTGAATAAATACCTAAATAATTGAGGTACTGATAGTCACTGGATATTTAGGGTGAGCTGCAGTGTCAAAAAAGTACCAAAATTGTGCCATCCAATTGTGCCACCAACAGATCTGGATCTATAAGAACTGAGAGGGAGCATGCTGGTGACATTCTGGGTTCATTAGCAAAGTGCTGCCTACTCTTAATCCTCTAGCTGTATATATGCTACATTTTCTGGCTGATATATCTGCACATGATTGTTTGGCCAGGTGAGTGATTTTCCCAGCTCTTCAGGGTGGGCAGAGATTGCATGTCATGTACTGGCTAACTGCAGCTCAGGAACACCAATGTTATCAAGTTCAGAAAGTTTTATTCAGAAAACCAGAGTTGGTCATAGGATAACAATATTGTCAGGACTGAAGCATTTTCAGTTACATGGCATATTAAAAGAACATAGCAATTCAAACATTTTTACACACTTACATCCCATTTGTCTTCAAATCAAAATATTCCTTTTCCCAGGATTTCCCCACCTTTCCTCTCCATACCAAGTGTTCCCACAGATAGCTCACAACATGTAATTTCTCCCCCCACATCTGATCATTATCCACCTCCAAGGAAGATAAGCAATCTTTTCACCCAGCACCATGTAACATATCCCATCATCCAGTATTGCAAAACATATACAGAATATACGATTAACCTATTTGGCAGGAACTATGATCCTGACACTGCATGAATTGTGAGTATATCCTCCCCACACACACAAATTTCCTCTTTTTCCCCTGTAGGAAAAGGAGATTGTTGAAGCAGCCTCTTATCACTGGAGGAAACTGCACTTTCTATGACCAAGAATGTGAAGTGTTATTGAAGTTTAATAAAGTTTATGCAAGGGATTTTTATTTTTATTTTTGAAATTAGAATTTTATCAGACTAGCAAGGCCTCATAAAATTCAGAACTTATGACAATATGGGGAGGGGCAAGTGATATCAATAGTGGAACACCTACATGCTGATCACACAGAATTATCCCCCCTCAAATCACTCACACCTAGGAGTTTATCACATGGGGAGCCCTGTGCAAAATCACTGTTTAAAGTAAAAACGGAAGCTTTTAATGAACGGGATTTCTCCCATTCTGCCCTGTGTGAAAAGTAAAAGCGCTGTTAAAAGGAGGTTAATACAAACAGAAATTAGACAAAAACTGCTTCTTTTTACTTTCAGGAGCTTCCAAAAGTAAAAAGAAGCAGTTTTTGTCTAATTTCCGTTCGGATTAACCTCCTTTTAACAGCAACGTCATCTGAAAAAACACCCGCTTCTGCGGGTTTTGTTTAATTTAAAGCCCCATTTCCACATGGGATTTCCCCCGTGTGATAAACTCCCTAGACAGAACCAAAACAATTGCAAGAGCATATGAAAGATTAGAGGCCATTTGTCATGGGAACAAGGGGGACTTTTCTGAGAAGCAATGTGAATAGCTACATCCATTTAACATGACACAAGGTGAATTTTTTTTTTAAAAATGGCTAAAGTATTTGCAGCTATTAAAAGTACAGATCTCTGTGTAGCTACATCTTTTGTTTTTGTACTGGAACAGACTAATATGACTCCTTCTTTGAAAGTCTCAAGATATTGCAGGTCATAGGAATTGCCATTTCCCTTCACACAGCTTTTTTCATTTGTTATGTGTCTTTATTCTACTCTGGCAGTCTCAAAACAAGTAAAATGTTTTTCATGTACAAATATAAAGTGGACCTGGCTTGCCTTCTGAAAACTCACTGGTGCAACAAAGTTCAGATCCTGAACTTCAGACGAAATCACCAGTGTTCCAAATATAGATGTTATTAGCTCTTCCTTTCTTAACAATCAAATCACACAGATGAGG